ATATTGGGCCTGGAACTACAGAGTTTTGAAATGAATCAAGTAATATTTGACAGAATTGGACTTCCTTATTACAAGTTTTTTTTTTTTTTTGAGTCGGGGTCTCACTCTGTCACCCAGGCTGGAGTGCACTGGCATGATCATGGCTTACCACAACCTCAAACTCCTGGGCTCAGGCAATCCTTCTGCCTCAGCCTCCTGAATAGCTGGGACTACAGGCGCACACCACCACACCCAGTCATTTTTTTTTTTTGGTAGAGATGAGGTCTCACCGTGTTACCCAGGCTGGTCTTGAGCTCCTAGGCTCAAGCAATCCTCTTGCCTGGGCCTCCCAAAGTACTGCAATGACAGGTGTGAACCACTGTGCCTGGCCTCCTTATTACAAGTTTTGTAAAAGCTCCTGGAATAATACATTAAGTCATTTTTCTGGTGTCACAAAATTTGAAATGAAAATAAACTCATCTGAGTCTAATAAGGACCAAATAAAACATTTTACAGTTTACAAGTTTAAGGATAAACTTCACTCTGAGGTCTGATTTGGGTTTTAAAATGTGTTTTTCTTGAACAGTTTTAACTCTCTAAAGTGAACTGACAAGAGAGTTCACATGCAAGGTTACTGGGGTCTGAAGTCTCCCAGGCAGCCAATAGTCTTTTTTGTTTTTTAAAGTGAATTGACAGTTTTCCCTGTAACATGAAATACTACCCCATGCCTCTCACCTTGTATTACATCTATTTAAAAAGTAGAATCGTACTAAAGAAAAGCAAAAAACCTAACTTTATATGACACTATGACTGTAGCAACCTCTTTAATGTTTTCTTAAATGTATTCTCGATTTTGCCAGAAACTACAGGTATATCAATCTGGGTTGCTCTTTCTCAGTTCATTTTGTATCCAAGCAAATATTTTGAAGAGAGAATCTGGGTCAGTGAGCTCAGGATTGTCTCTGAACAGTTCAGTTCATTTATTTTTATTTATTTTAATTTTTATTAAAAAAATTTTTTTTTTTAGTTAGAGTCTCACTCTGTCACCCAGACAGGAGTGCAATGGTCGCTCCCGGCCACCGCAGCCTCGACCCGCTGGGCTCCGGCGATCCTTCCGCCTCAGCCTTCCGAGTAGCTGGAACTACAGGCGCGCGCTACCACACCCGGCTGATTTTTGATTTATTGTAGAGATGGGGTCTCGTCAAGTTGCCCAGGCGGGTCTCGAACCCGCGGGTTCAAGCAATCCTACTCAACTCAGCCTCCCAAGGCGCGGGATGACAGGCTGAGCCACCGAGCCCGGCTCAGTTCATTTTTAAAAGAATAAATACAAGCTCCAGAAGTAACCAAGAACCTACTTTGTTCTGTTCTACTGTAAAGTCACTTCGGGTAAATTTAGTGAATAAGGACAACTACTCTTTCAGGTACTAGCCTAACATACTTGCACTATATACTTAAGGATGTACAATTACGTGTATATTTAGTATAGATGAGGTAACGTACATGAGAGGGGATCCCTTGAAAAAATGAACTGTCTTTTGGAGGGCGGGCCCCTTGGAGTACAGCTTCCCCCACCCAGGTAAGTATTCTAGGGACCAATCGACATCAGTGTCCCAGCTAGCATTGTTGTAAGAGGCTGCGTTCGGCTTTGGTGACATTTTTTTGGAGATTCTTTCAACGCATCTGCCCATTTCAGGATGGGTGAGTCATGAGCACACCTGCCCACGCTGTGCCAGGTGTTCAGCAGTTTTTGACCCCAAACGGCATGGCCTCCTATGCCCCACCCTCCCTCTTCACCCAAATTTGCCCTCAGTGACTTTCGGTTTCCTGGATGAAAAAAGTCTTCCAAGGGAAACGTTTTGCTGATGGAAGAGGTGAAACAAAAAAGGCATAAGCACGAAAAGGCATCAAAATTGATGAGTTTGAACACGTTTTTTAGCAGCGGAAAAAGCCTCTCAATAGGTGTAGTGCATCAAACGGAGAGTACTTTAAAGAACTGGAGCTTAACCACGTAAGAATAAATACACACTATTTTATAAAGAAATACCTGGTATTTTTGGGTCCCCCCTCATATATGTCCTATTATGATATACACACAATATATAATAATATGGGGTTTATGGGTTACAGCAGACCTGGATGAAACTAAGAGTATGGCATTACAATCTAAGACTCTTCTAACATATACACAGAACTCTTTTCTGATTTGGCAACGTGTTTACCACGTGGAATCACTAACTCTGAACATACTGGGAGCTTTCCACCTGTGTACTGCAGAGCTCCTGGGGAGGAAGGAGCAGGTGGGAAACAGAGGAAGCAGGACTTGGGATTCCGCACCCTCACTCAAACCCTACTGCCTGCACATGACATGGGACCCCAAGATACACAGCGGTGAGGCTCGGGGTTAAAAGGTAGAGACCTGCTGTTCACATGCACTAACCATACACACATAAATAAATATACACACTCTCCTTCTTTTCATATATATATGAAAAGCATCCGTTTCACTTTAAAAAAATTTAAAAAATATTTCCAAGGGTTCATGGGCACTTGAATCTCAATCCTTCAGCGATCTGTGAACCAATTATAAATCTATACATGTCAAAATATACTTTTGCCTATTGTACATAAAGCAAATGACCGATAATGTCTACTCAAGTAGGTTCAGTGACAAAGAAGGACAACGAGAAGCAAACGGAAACATCATCCGATGAGAAGCCTCTGATGCTCACAGCCTTTCTAAGATGGCCACCCTGATCATGGCTTTGCTGCCTGGGCAGTCTGGGTGGCCGTGCGTGTGACACAATGACCATCTTTCTAACTGTCGGACCAAAGGCAGGCACTTGACCCAACAGCAGTCGGCCTATGGGCTGGCCTCCTATCTACCCTGTGCCTGACGTGAAGAAACAAATTGGACCCATCGGATAATCTCTAAGCAGCCTGAAGAGAGAAAATAATGAATGAGGTGAGGAGAAGCTGGCGCAGAAGCTTCCAGAGCACTTGAGAAGGAGCCAGGAGGCAGAATGGAGAGAATAGAGGGGCGCTGAAGGCCAAGCTCTCAGAAAGCAGAGACCACTTCAGGTAGAGGATACAGCGCAGGAGAAAACAGAAAAGAAGGAAAGAATGTGAGACAGGACAAAGCGGATGCAAAGAATTCCCATGAAACGGAAGCGCACGAAGCCAGCAGGACATTGTCACAGTCTGTGAACAGCCTTAGTTCCCATAACGGTCTTGCTTCCAGCTGCATACTGACTTATAAACAAACAAAACCAAATATATTTTTCTTATCTTTTCTTTCTTTCTTTCTTTCTTTCTTTCTTTTTTATGAGTAGGAGTCTCTGTCATCCAGGCTGGAGTGCAGGGGCAGGTTCCTGGCTACTGCAGCCTCGACCTGCTGGGCTCAGGTGATCCTTCCATCTCAGCCTTCCAAGTAGCTGGAACTACGGGCACATGCCACCATGCCCGGCTAATTTTTTGATTTATTGTGGAGATGGAGGTCTCACCAAGTTGCCCAGGCTGGTGTTGAACCCATGGGCTCAGGCAATCCTCTCACCTTGGCCTCCCAAAGAGCTGGGATTATAGGCATGAGCCACCGTGCCTGGCCTCAAATTACACTTTTCTTAAGATATTCTGAGTTCGAGTCTCGGTCTCAGTTCCCCACAGCCAGGCTTTATTAGAACTGATATGAACAATCTAAACCCGAGTTAATGAGAAATTGACACAAACATTATGTGTTCTTAAAAAGCTACTTACAGCACTTGAGGTTTTCCAAATGTGCTGAAATTCCCTGCAATAAGCCAGAGATCATACCATCCGTTGCATTTATGCTAACTTATTTGGGTGTCAAGATTAAGTCATACTAACAGCATGCTGCAACACATCAAGTTGTCTGTGTTTTAACCACTTGAATCCAAACTATAAACACCTGAGTAGATATTACCCAGTTTGGCTGAAACATTTCTTTGACAGAGTTCTTAAAAAAAACCACACTATCTTACAATTTAATGTTACTTACGAAGGTCAGCATGTAAGAATAGACTAGAAGCATTTATTTATACCCCAGCAATGGGAGAGTACTTTTTAAGAAGTTGTTATACAAATAGAATAGAAAGATTATACAGACAGCCTCACTGTTCTTAAAAAAACTATGTCAAGTGCATCAATGATCTTAAGACTGATTTGATACCATATACTCTGGAGAAGAGGTTACTGAATAGTAGCTGACGGTTATTACCTAGCTTGCAGACATGTTTGGTTTGGCCTGCAATTTTTAAGAAAATAATTAAATCGGTTGACAGAACTTTAAAAATTGAGAGTTAATACATATAAAATCCAAAATTTCTGGCTTCTCTCCCTCTCTCTCTCTTTTTGAGTCAGGGTCTCACTCTGTCACCCAGGCTGGAGTGCAGTGGCATGATCACAGCTCACTGCAGCCTTGAAATCCTGGGCTCCAGTGTTCCTCCCACCTCAGCCTCCCTAGTAGCTGGGACTACAGGTGTGCACCACCATCCCTGGCTAATTAAAACAATTTTGTTTAGAGCTGAGTTCTCGCTATGTTGCCCAGGCTGGCCTCGAACTTCTGGGCTCAAGCAATCCTCCTGTCTCAGCCTCCCAAAATGCTGGGATTGCAGGCATGAGCCACAGCACCCAGCCAGAAGATTTGCCTGTATAGGTGCATATTTTCACAAGTCAGCAAAGGATTGTAGCCTGGCAGCAGTTAATCTATTTAGATGGGGCAAGGGCATTCCAGTTTCTTCTAATTCTTTCCAGTTCTTTGCCAATCTCTGTGCTTTTTAGTTTGTAACCTCTGCTCTAGAGACAGGAGACTTAAAAATCTCACCTAGGCACCAACATCTAATAGAGTAGTTGTTAATCTATAAACAGCAATACTGCTCTGTTGATGACTAAGGTAATATGAAATAGCTCAGAATTTCTAGTCCCAATTCTGTTTTGGGTTCAGTGACAGTGAATCACACCTCTAACTCAGCATCCCCGGTCCTCTGACGCCACCATGCTCTCCGTACCTTTTCTATCTGGCTTCAGGTTCCTATCCACGGGGGGCGGTTCACAGTCTGCGACGGGAACTGGCCTTCTGGGAGGGGTCTTCGGGCTAGACCTGAAGCCCATATGAGCAGGAGGAGGAACTTGCATTCCAAATGAAGAAAAATCAAACGTTCCGGGAGTCATTGGCACATAATTTGCTTCCTGAATTGGTTCTGTAAAACTGCTGGAATGCTGTCGTGGCGGTGAGTTGGGATTCATTGGGACGTAATTTTCGTCTAGCTCTTCACTTGATACACTTCCAACTGTCAACACATTTTTGATTTTCTAAAACACACATATATCTCTTTTAATAAACAAAAACTACTGTCAAACACGAAAACACAATTGTTAGGTCACACCCATTCATATCGCTGTGAAAGGTACTTTAATTTCATGGTCTCAGTCTCAGGACAATGAATTTAGACAATGAAATACACTCAATGCCAAGGTCAGTTATACTTACAAAGTGGTTATGGAAGCCTTCAAGTGAACTAGATCTATCACTTGGAAATGTTCGTGGTATATCATAGCAGTCTTGGGAACTAGCATCTAAAACAAAGAACAGACTATCAACATTTCTTCCCATCTTTGCCAGCTCTCAGGGTAATCAGAAACGACTTATTCTCTTTCTCTCTTTATACATGTACACATATATACATTTTAAAATGGATGTCGACAGAATAATATCTCAAACTGGCACATTAAACCACTAGAAAATGCAAACACTCATGCATGTGCTAACCAATATCTACTTATGAGTCCAGGGATTCGGACCAGACTGAGCAACTTGGCGAGACCTTGTCTCTTCAATAAGTAATAATAAAAAAAATTAGCCGGGAATGGTGGCGAGCACCTGTAGTTCCAGCTACTTGAAAGGGTGAGGCTGGAGGATCGCCTGAGCCCAGCAGGTCGAGGCCACGGTGGCCATGAGTGTGCCACTGTACTCCAGCCTGGGCTACAGAGTGAGACTCCTACTCAAAACAAAACAAAACATAAAAAATCAAATGAAAAGCGTAAAGTGAGTGACCACCTAGGCTAGGGATGAGCTGGGCCATCTACAGATGTAGAAGAAATTTCCTCTGCTTCTTCATCTTTTGTGCTACCTTGGCCCTAACTTATATCTATCTCACTAACTTATAACCAGCTTACACAGTCACTTCAAGAAAGGGAGTTAGATAGACACTGCGATCAGGCTGGGTGAGGTGGCTCACGCCTGTAATCCCAGCACTTTGGGAGGCTGAGGCGAGAGGATTGCCTGAGTCCAGGGGTTCGAGACCAGTCTGGGCAACTTGGTGAGACCTCGTATCTACAATTAAAAAAAAAATAGCGGGTGTGGTGGTGCATGCCTGTTGTTCCAGCTGCTTGAAAGGCTGAGGTGGAAGGATTGCCTGAGCCCAGTAGGTCGAGGCTGCAGTGGCTGTGAGTATGTCACTGAACTCCAGCCTAGGCGACAGAGTGAGACTCCAACTCAAAAAAAGAAAAAAAGAAAGAAACTGTGACCAAATGGCTACATACGTACTGATATGTAAGTCACCATTCTCAAGACATTACATACACATATTCTTTAAAGATAGCTGGAAAACGCTACCACAAAACACAGAAGTGTGAGCACACAGTGTTTAGAGTGCATGCATTAAAAAAAACTCTGGCTTTAGGCTGGGCATGGTGGCTCATGCCTGTAACCTCAGCACTTTGGGAGGTCAAGAGGATTGCTTGAGCCCAAGAGTTTGAAACCAGCCTGGGCAACACGGCAGAACCTTGTCTCTACAAAAATCAAAAAAGAAGCCAGGCATGGGGATACATGCCTGTAGTCCCAGCTACTTGGGAGGCTGAGGTGGACAAATCGCCTAAGCCCAGGAGGTAGAACTGTGATTGTGCCATTGCACTCCAGCCTTGGCGACAGAATGAGACTCCCAACTCAAAAAAAACTCAAACCAACCAACCAACCAACCAAGCAAAAAAACCCTAAAACTTTGCCTTTCTATTTTTAGAACTTTGAGAATCTCAGAAAATGACCCAGACCCATTTTCTTTCTCCTCTCAAGGTCTGTAACTTTTGGTTGCCAGCTTCTAGGAGTTGGTATAGGAGAAATATACTCACTAGCAGTAAGTGACATGGTTGGTGAGAAGGAGATTTCGCTCTTTAAAAATATATTAAAAAAAGCTGGGGGCAGTGGCTCACGCCTATAATCCCAGCACTTTGGGAGGTGGAAGCGAGAGGATTGCCTGAGTCCAGGGGTTCAGACCAGCCTGAGCAACTTGGCAAAACCTTGTCTCCTCAACAAATAAACAAAAAAAATTAGCTGGGAGTGGTGGCGCGTGCCCGTAGTTCCAGCTACTTGGAAGGCTGAGGCTGGAGGATCGCCTGAGCCCAGCAGGTTGAGGCCACGGTGGCCATGAGCATGCCACTGCACTCTAGCCTGGGCTACAGAGTGAGACTCCTACTCAAAACAAAACATTAAAAAATCAAACGAAAAGCATAATGACTTGATTGGAACATGTTAGACACAACGCAAAAATTGTTTATAGAGGAAGGATGGAAACAGAGCCCAACAGATGTGACTTAAAAGTGGCCATGATGGCACACAGATACAGGAAAGGGCACAACATGGAGTGGCCTTGTGGCTGGTCCATTTCCTGCTCCTCTCCCCAAAAGAAGCCCTGTCCACCCAGGATTAAAGGAAGTGGGCAAGAGGGGTACACTTTCTGAGGGAGGAAGGCATTGCAAAGACCATACTTCAGGCATAAGCACCTCCAACTCCTCCCTTCCAGCAGAGCAAGAATGCACATGTGTCTGCACACCCTGCACCTTCCAGGGATCTACTGAGACCCCTGACATCTTGGTTACATCAGTGGACAACTGCAGAGCTGCAGGAAAAAAAAGCACTATTTTTATAACATAGTGCATTTAACATTATGCTCTGCTGAAAAGAACAAATATTCAGAAACACAGATTTTACTACTATTCACTTCTAAAACAGAAGAAGCCAACCAGAGCTGACCTTTTCGCAATTTGTTCAAATCCACAGTGGAAATGGTATTACTACGCGATGGCGGCATCCCTGCCGTAGGGACACAATAACTACTGTCAGGGTCCGAGGCCGTGCGTGGGACGCTACATGTTTCCACAGGAGATCGGTCGTGAGCTGGATGTGGTTTCGGTGGCCGAGGTGGAGGGATATCTGGAATAGTGTCGAGCTTCGACGTCTGCCCCAAGGTTCCTTCTGGAAATGTTCGTGGAATCTGGTAAGTATTACCAGGTGTTGGAGGAATGTCATAACTGATAGATACATGCCTCATTTGAGCCTCCATGCTCGATGTCCCAGATGGGGTGTTAAACACGTAGAGTTCTCCATCTGCCTCGGTACTTGACGGAGACACCTTTGGTAAAACATCATGGGAGTAACTCCTGGGCAGGTAATAAAGGCTCGAGTCTACAGAAACTGATGTGGCCCGTGAAGGTGGGGAGTCGTATATCATCTGTTGCTGAAAAAAGCCATTCACTCCATGTTTGCTCTGGGAGGAAGCAGGATTTTTATGAGAAGGGACGTTATCGTTGCAGTCTGTTTCAGAAGACGAGGATTTTGCAGGGTCCGCGTGTGCTCTACATGCAAATCGTGAATGTTAATGAAAGAATAAACAGGGTGAAGAAAAAAGAGTACATTTTTGATACATAAAGGTATAGCTTAGCAATCAATGGACATGGCTTTTTTTTCATTAGATTCTTGGGCATGATTTAAAGCATAAATGCTCTTTAGTTTTTATGATTATGCACCAGACAACAAAACCACCACCACACAACCATCAAAAAGCATTCTCCCTAATGCCTGTCCTGTACCTGGGACACCCTCAAATCTACATGTAAAACCACAATCTCTGAAGCACTGGAATTAGATGTTATAAAACTGGGAATGGTAAATGATGAATGCATGAACATAATGCATTTCCTCTGAAAAGCATGCAAAAATCTAGTACTGACACTAGATACTAATTTATAAAGTTGGTTCATCGATTTTAAGCCTTCCTGTGGCAAATGTGTTTTGTACAATTAAAAGTCTGATGATTACCTGGTAGTGAATAAGTTCAGTGTGACCTACAAAGAGGTGACAACTTTCTAAGTTTCATGTGTATTCCCTTCCACTAATTTGCTTTAACAAACGTTAAGCCAACACGATCAAGAGGATCAAAATACACGGCCCAGAGTTAGCCAACTCCAAGCAATAATGAACCTTGAGAAATCTCATTAAAGTATATTTATGTTTTGGGTACGTTTTCAGTCTCCACGTTTTGAGGTCCACAAGATTTGGGTCTAAGGCAAGAGGAAGCCAACACAGAAATACCCATTCTCACTTCCTTATTGCTGAATAAAATAACTGAACCACCACATGTGTGTTGTCCAAAAGTCTTTAGGAACTTAAACAATCTTTCTTTCTTTCTTTTTTTGAGACAGGGTCTCACTCTGTCATCTAGGCTGGAGTGTAGTGGTACAATCATAGCTCACGGCAGCCTCAAACTCTTGGGCTCAAGCGATCTTCCTGCCTCGGTCTCGCGAGTAGCAGGGACTACAGGAGCACACCACCATGCCCAGCTCATTTTTAAAATTTTTGTAGGGATAGGGTCTTGCTATGTTGCCCCGGCTGGTCTTGAACTCCTGGCTTAAAGTGATCCTCCTGCCTCGGTCTCCCAAAGTGCTGGGATTACAGGCATGAGCCACTGTGTCTGGCAAACGATATATCTTTAAATAACTTATGACAGTTCTTTTTTAAAGGGCTTATCCTCCCTTACTTCTTAGTGACATCTGGCACGACGTACTGTATTGTATTTAATCATTGACACTTTTCCCCTTTGGTATTAGAATTCATATGGGCTATCCTGACTGTCCCTGTCCCTTGATGATGACTACCTTGTTTTACTAACTGGCTCCTTCTTCCTGTCTCTCCATCTGGGAATGGCCACCAGACTACATTCCTCGAACCCCATACCACGTGTGCCACTAGAGGATCCTCTTTTTCTGAACGCTGACAACTCCCATTTTCTCACCAAACTCTGAGTCTCATACCACGAGGGGGACCCCAAAAAACCTGGAACTATCTTTTGGAGGGCAGGCCCCTTGTAGTACAGGCTTCCCCTGCTGGGTAAGTGTTCCGGGAACCTATCGGCATCAGTGGACCAGCTAGCACTGTAGTGAGAGGCTGCGTTTGGTTGGCTTCAGTGACATTTATTTGGAGATTCTTTCAACACTGTTTGTCCACTTCACGATAGGCGGTTTATGAGCGCAGCTGCCCACATCGTGCTGAGCGGCCGTTTTTGACCAAAAATGCATGCCCCCCGTGTCCTACCCACCCTATTCACCAATCTTGCCCTGAGTGACTTTTTTTTGGTTTCCCCAGATGAAGAAAGTCCTCAAAGGGAAACGTTCTGCCGATGTGGGAGAGGTGAAACAAACAACAGCAGAAGTACTAAGAGACATCAAATCTGACAAGTTCAAAAAACTGTTTTGAGCAGTGAAAAAAAGCATGTCAATAGGTGTATTGCATCAGATGAAGAATACTCAGAAGGCGACAGATGTTTAAACATGTAAGAATAAGTATGCCATTATTTTTTTTTTAAGTTAGAGTCTCACTCAGTCGCCCAGACTGGAGTGCAGCGGCCGCTCCTGTCCCCTGCAGCCTCGACCTGCCGGGCTCCGGCGATCCTTCCGCCTCAGCCTTCCGAGTAGC